GCTACCCGTTAATGAGATGGATTGCCTGCAGGTCCCCTTCTGCATGGTGATCAGCACACGACAGCCAGCAACCTGATCTATGAAAGGTAGCAGTCCGAGTGATGGGCATGTGGAGTACTCTCAACCCTGCTGAGGGAAATTGGGCGAGGAAATTACAGAAATATCGGTTTGGGGAAATTGTAGAAATACCTGTTTGGGAACTTTGGAGAAGTATTGTAGCAAGTATACCGGTCCGCCCCTGTGTTGGGACAGATATAATGACGCGCTTGCGGGCATAACCTTTTCGTGGTGGCCGTTGGCTCAGTGGTTAGAGCACCCTTTGGAAATGCGGATTGTGGTATGAGGTTGCGAGTTCAAAACTTCGTTGCCTCGCACACATACACCGGCAGTGGTTTCATAGCACACAAGCCATTCACACGCTCACCCTTGGGCGGACACAAGGTAATTATTACGAACACTGCCTCCACACAACCCAAGGGGTTTAGTCCATGGTTGCAGTATGGTGGTAGCAGGGCCTTGGGGGAGGGCTGTTTGCGTGGTTGGCCTTGGGGTGGTCCGATGAGTGTGAGTGTGCGTGTGTGTGTGTGTGTGTGGGTGTGCGGTCTGTGTAGTGTGTGGTCCAATGATCTCTGGGTCATGTCTCGTGTACTCATCATGGGCAAGGTAGAGGAGGTAGGTTGGGTAGAGGTCTTAGGTCTAGATTAGGTTAGGTAGGAATTTGTGTAGAGATTGTGGGCCTGTCTGTGCACCGCCTCGTTCATATGCAATGCTCTCTGGGTGTGTCATGGGTGTGTCTGGGTACTGTGGTAGTTTCCCGGTCTCATGGTACACCTGCGAGAGTCCATACTTACATTGTACGATCCTGGTTCCGGTCTGGCTCCGCTCTCTACACCCCCCCTTGAGTAGTAGTAAGGGTTGGGTGTTAGGGATATACCATTCCCAAGGGCGGCCCTCATGACTATCTTATGATGCTTGCGGGCTGGGCTTCATCCGGCCTGGTACCTGTCTGCGTTTCCATTGAGGGGGTCGATTGGGGTGTGAATCTGGGGAAGGGTTTCTGGGTAGGGGTCTCATCTTAGGCAGGGGAGGGTGGGTCGTCGCATTGGTGGTAGAGGGTGGTAGACACCCATAGAGTCCGCTAGATGTGACACAGGTGGGGAATGACCACATATCCGTAAACCCTCCTGTGTCCGGGTCGTCCTTGAGAATTCGGGGTGTCCCTCTGGTAGCGCCCGTGGGGGACACTCATCTGAGACCCTAGGAAGGCATGGGTTGGTGTAGGTCTAGGTCTAGAGCATGGCAACCGGGCGGACGTCTGGACCGGAATCCAGACGGTCCGGTTGTCTGGGTATGGGTTCGGTGTCTGGTCCACGAAGTGCTGCGCCCTCATCGACATATTCTCCGGGCGTTGGTCACGACTCTCTCTGGCCAGCCGAAAGAAACCAGTTTTCTGGTGACCAACGGTCGGTCTGGATTGGACCCAATTTTGAAAAATTCGAATTTTTTTTTGGGGGGGCCCAGGACGTTTTTCAGGTCCTAGGCCATCCCCAAAAAGTGCCCCCGGTATTTTTTGGCTGTTTCAGGGCCTACCGGACGCTGCCAGACACTTCCAACAGCTCCCTCTGCTGTTGTACTACGCTGGTCGTTCATCGGATGAGGATGAGTCTGATTCCAAAAATGAAGCGCTGGCTGCAAAGCGCCGAAGAACATCAAGCGAGCGAGCGAGCGAGCGAGCGAGAGAGAGAGAGAGAGAGAGAGAGAGAGAGAGAGAGAGAGAGAGAGAGAGAGAGAGAGAGAGAGAGAGA